GGGCAGCCAGAGTTCTAAAATGGCCGCAGCAATCAAACACCTGCTGAGTGTTTGATCTAGCCCTTAAAGTGGCAGGCACCACTGGTGCCCTGCCATAGTCTGCCACATTTTAAAGGCTAAAAGTCAGCTTAATTTGTCTGTGCTCAAAGACCCTAAGCAGGCTTCTGACTTCAGAAACGGGAAGTGTTTTTTCTTTCACTAGATATAAAATTGCTATCTTAGATAGTTATGGAATAACACTCAGCCAACAAGTCTAACAGGACTTCTGGCCTTGTCAAAAAAAGGTCAAATGCCTGCTGAGCCAGGAGACCACCATCCTAGCATGGTGTGACTCACCGGTTATCTCCAGCTAACAGCTCACCTAGCTAATAGCACATTTAGCTCTCCAGCCTGACTGACCATGTATCCCTGTGCTGTCAAGTTAGCTGACTAGGGAAGCAATCAACAATCTTTTAAGTCTGTAGGTCTGATTGATCCAGTTTGGGTCAGTTTGGGTAGGTAGGGGGATGGGCTGTGACCCAACTGCCACTGCTGCTTTTCCCTGGAGCCACAAGGGGAAAAAGCCAATGATTTTTCTTCATCCCAGCATGGGAAAGCAACTGCTGCTGAAGCCCTCTGCAAACAAATACCACCAAAGCCCTATGTCAGTGGATCAAATGGCCCCTATCCCACAAGTCATAGGTTGTTGACCCCTGGAGTAGGGGTAGGCTTTAGCACAAGCTTGGAACAAGGTTCAAATTCAAACCTTTGAAATCACAGAAATACACCTTAATCACTCTTTGCTACCACATCCCTCTGCCTTACAGGAAGATCAAGTTACTGAAGTAGAATTCACGACATACTTGGGTTACAATTTTGCTTTCCCTTAAAACAATGGGAGTATTGCTACTAGGTTTAAGAGGGAGTAACATCAGGCCCTTATTTCAAAACTGTATATATAATATAAACTAAACATCTACTAAATTTTCCTTTACTTGCATCTTCTGGTTATAGTGAAACGGACTGTATTATAAGACAGGGAAGTAGCCTAATCCAATGACCCTATATTATATATACATTATATATACATATGTATACATTACAGTACCAAAGCTGTGGAATCGGGGAGCTGACGTACTCTGAATACTTTATACAAATGAAATAAATGTTTGGTGGCAGAAGGAAACATTTAGAAGTATAATGTCAAAATAATATCACTTGACTAGCATAAGAAAGGTAATTAAACACTTCAACAACTGTTTGATAGGGAAAGCAAAAATAGCATGGGTTTTAGATGAATAACATGGGACTAGAAAATACATAATATTCTGCCATAATGCTGAAAATTTACTATTATGATTCAGGAGCACCTAGCTACCATAATAGGCAGTTCATTCATTGCTGTTAACTTAATAAATCTTCTTTCATGAAGATAAAATGTCTGTTAAAGTACACTTTTGAGACTGATGATCATAGCAGGTTTCTAGTAGGCAAGAAAGAGAAGGTACATCCCAATTTACTGGCATCTCAGCATAGAAAAAGAGTCAATATGGGGGACAGAACTCATTAGAAAACAGTTCTAATTCTGTTCCCACTTCCACAGTAGTGCTACTTTGTCACAATTTAACTACCTCAGACTTTATTTTTTTCTTTTTTATTAATTAGGACGTCTTTGTGCTAGACAAATATAAAATAAAAGACAATCACTACTGAAAAGAGCTCCCAACTGGTATTTGTATATGGATGCATTATTTCATGGTATTTGTACTCATCCTGTTCCTTCCACTCATATCTGTGAAAATGTACCCTCCAAGTTATTCCATACCATCTGGAATATATTTTATTGTGAGCTTTGGTAGAAACTTCCTAGTTAACGTGAGACAATTACTATTATGAACAACATGAGCCAGAATTTTCCTTCTTCTTGAAGAAAGCTCTTATTTCTGCCTGAAATTTTATATATGAGGGATGTCTTTTGGCAAAGAACATTTTTGGGGGGATGGGAAAAAGCATTTCAGAGTCATGAGAATTTGAAACTGAGAAGTTTATTATGTTTGGAAAAGTTTCCTAAGGTGTTTTTTTTTGGAACAGTATATGTGATCTTAAAAACTTTTGGAACTAAAATCTCCATATTCATTTTAATCCTGCCCCCATAATAAGAGTGCATAAAACTATTTAGATAGTTATGTGTTTAATTTTGAGGTTACTCATGATGCCTATGTGAACCTTGGAAAGTGCCTTGAGGGCTTATGTAGATTTTAAAATTTCATATACCAAACATCTTATTCAGAATAATAACAAATCACACAAGAACATTCTGTGTAGTCTGTAAATTTTATAAGCCAAGAGAGCTGGTTCTAGGAATTTAGAAGCTTAACAAAAAACTACTGCAGTAGTTTCTGGCCTCTGTAAACCTATTTAGTTCCAAATTAGAATGTAAATTCTTCACAGTGTGTTTTTGTCAGATGTATTTGTACCTTTGCAATGGGGCCCTGATGCTGACTGGGGCTTTGGTTAGTTCAAAAAAACAAATAATAATACATAAGAATTATAATTCGTACAAACCTCTGTTTAAGCACCATGGTATTACGTACACTGAATAAGAAGGAATAAGCAATCATAGAAAGATCAGCAGCCATCTCTCAGAAAGACTAAATAAGCACAGGTAGAAAACCTATGAGATGTGTTTTATTTTCTTGAGCTCTCTGATTCCACAGTTGCCTTTAATTCTGCACAAAGCAAATGTTGCCTAAGAGGGCTTAAGGGCTGCTATAAAGAAGAGTATACTTACTATGGTGAAACTGTTTAGAATGATGTTCTATCATTCTTCAACTGTGAACTTTCCACTGAACTTTTAAAATTTGTTTACGGCAATTTACCAGAGGGCAACTGTTTTAGTGGCACTGTAATGTAATCTGTGGACCTTTTATTTGGATATAAACTGCAACCATGTAACCATGAATAGCCACAGGATGATCCATTTTAACTCTTTATGAAATATGCAGGTAGTTCTGTGTTTTGACTAGGGTCAACATTTGCTCTCAGAAAGAGGAACTATTGCATTTGGATACATTTTAGGAGAAAGCACTGAAATCTGAAGACTGTTGCTCCTTCTGTGACAGCAGTCCATGTCTTTCTTTCTATCCTCAGCATCTGTAGCCTCTTGTCTGACTTCCCAGTTCTTTCCCCTACAGTCTAACCAAGAACAGCTTTCTGTGTTTTTGCCCTCCCTGCCGGTTTTTTTTTTAATTCTTCAGTGCCCATCATGTTACCTTCTTTCTTCTCTCCCCTCCTTTCTTTGAAACTTCACCCTGGTTTCTGCTCTCAATTAATATTAACTCGTAGCATTTTTCTTACCTTGTAGGATCTGCCCCACCCATTCAGGTTAGAGAAGTGACATGTTAGAGAGAGACCTATACCCTCTCCCCCTGGGGCCTGATCCTGCCCCAGAGTTTTGCTAGTGATTCATACGGAAATGGAATCCTTTATCTCTGTCATCCGCTCCTGACTTTGAGCCTTGTTTCATGCCACCCTTTATGACTGAAAAATCCCCCCCATTCAGCTTTGCCTAGCTTCCTTCCTCACTCTCCTCCTTAACGAAGTTCTGGAGATCCATCTGTTCCGTGAGAGATTCAGATGTAGAGATGAGCTCTCTATTGAGCTTGTTGTGTATTTCATTCTCTTCTCTTTGCACCTGTGCTTTTACAATCTAAGCTGCTTGGAAAAGGGACTCCAGTTTGAATAGCATGTTTAATTATTTGAATAGCACTTAGTAAGCAAATCTCTTCCACAACAGCAAGGGGAAGACAGAAAATTACAGGCAGTACACAAAAGCGGTGCAATTCAAAAGCAATGGCAGCATTGAAAAGCAATGCAGTGCAGTGTGAGGACAGCATACAAAAGCGTTGCACACTGCCCCCTCCCTGTTGTGGAACATAGGGTCCTTGTGCCTGAGGAACAGCCATTGCTGCGAGGTGCTGAGCCTCCTCGGGCCTACCGCCTTCCATGTGAAGCTGAAGGGAGGGGACTCAGCTTCTCCCAGGAGGAGCTTTTGTCGCACAGGACCCGGCTGTTGAATGTTTCTGCTCTCACAGCTCATTTTGCAAACGAATGCTGCAAGAAAATTTTAATCCGGTGTTTGTGATACCGTGGGAAAGGGGGTGCAACGATCATCACTAACAAATCCTGATTTTACTTCATGAGCAAACGGGACTGACCTGACTGACTATGGGGAAAAGCCCGGAGCAGGGGTTGTGAGGGCATCTGTAAAGATGCCTGGTGAGTTATGCTGATAAAAGGATACCGCAAACTAGGTGTGTTGCATTTCAGGGTTTGGTCTTTAATTGGCTGAAGGAATTCACCAGACTATTACTAAACTTTTTTTTTTAAAGGACATTATGGGGGGCATCTTCAAGGATACCTGCCCAGTTCAACAGATAAGAAAAGGATACTATACACTGGGTGAATTGGGTTTCACGATTTCATTCAGATTTCTTTAACTGTCTAGAAGAATTCATTGGGCTGTTACTAAATTAAAAAAAGCCTTACGGGGCATCTTCAAAGATGTCTGCCCAGTTCAACCGGTAAGAAATGGATGGGGCAGACTAGGTGTGCTGAGTTGCAGGATTTGGCTTTGGTGCTTAATTGGCTTTGGATTTAACCGGCAAGTGAATTTGGACTGTGATGGCATTAAAAAAAAAAAGGAAGCTTATTTAAATAAACCCACAGGGCTTAAAAGCGAAGGAGTCAAGGGCTCCGTTTGATTTCTGTTGCCTCCACGGGCGTCCGGAGCAGCCTGGGAAGAAACCCCCGGCGCTGAGGGCAGCCATTGCCGGGAACGGCAGCGAGCGGGGTGCGCGGCATCTCCCTCCCCCTCGTGTGTGTGTGCGCACGCTGCCCGCGGCCTGGCCGTGCTACGGGCCGCAGCTG